TCTATGGCATTGCCTAAGGCATTCTTGGGACAGAAAGGCAGAGACGCAGGCAGAGCCATTAACACTATGCTCTGTAAACCATATCCATCCCCTGCTAAATAGGTGTGTATGCTGTCTAACCCTAGGAACTAGAGGTAGGAAAATAGAAGACTAGTATTTTGTGCAGAATTTATAGTTTCTCTTTTGTTTATGTACGTAATTAGTGGACTTTGTGACATGAATCTTTCAGATGCAAGGACCAGAAAAAGAACTCTAGTTCTCCAAAACTAAAAAGAATTGGCTTAGAAAACAGAGCTCCAGAAGTTGGATTGGCTTCAGAAGAGATTTGATCCTGAGGCCCAGTATGTCCTTTGACTCTGTTTCTCTGTGATTGGTTCATATTTGTCCTCCTCTGAGGGTAGACTTCTTTCTTAGGCTGGCTCTTCTCAGGGCACTAAAATGATAGGAGTAGTTCTGGATTTTGTGTCTTCATATCACAAGAGAGAACACAATCCCTGGTTGGTCCCAGATACCCCATGGACCCTGTTGCATCTCCTTGGCTGGAGTTGAGTTATGTGTCCATACTTGAGCCAATGGGATAGGCCGATTGGCTTTGGTTACTGGGTTTCAAATCTGGAACCCCTTCAAAAGATTTTGATTTCATTGTTTTGGGAGGCGATCTCATGCATTGCTATTTTTAAATGCTCCCTGGATGATTCTAATATACAGCCAAAGTTGGGTTTGTTGGCTTAAGCCAGTCAGTGTACACTAAAGGCTGAGAATGTGAGTAACGGTTCTCCAAAGGAAAATCTAGGTAAACTTGACACCCAGATTGATCGGGGAAGAGGAATATAGATGTTGGGGAAGCGAATATCAAATGTTTACATGTGGCAGACGTATTAGTTGCAGACATGCTAGCTGCCCCAGTGTCTGTATCCCTCCTTTCTCTCCTTGCTACCAGAACCCAACTTTACTTTGGGACAGTAAAATGTCAGCTGTAGGGGACAGATCATGAATACTACCAATAATCTGTTTCCCTACTTTGGAGAGAGAGAGAGAGAGAAGGCAGAGCAAAATTACTCTTTTTACATAGCAAAGGATACAAAGAAAGTTTAAAATATATTGGTAGTATATTAGAGGAATTGGTAGTGTAAGCTACCAAAAAAGGAGGAGGAAGAGGAGGGGCAGAGGGAAGAAGTCTTCAAATATGGCTGCCTCTGAGAAATAAGATATGAAGAGGAGAATGGGAAAGCAAACTTTTAGTTTTCATTTTATACTCTTCTGTTCTCTTTGAATTTTTATTTCTATGTGATTATGTTATTTTTGTAATTTAAAAATAGATTGATCTCTTTTGAAGTTGTTCCTAAGAGTTCAAGATGGTTGTGTGATGTCTGGTTAGAGTACATTTCTTTAATTGTCTAAATCACCTTTTTAACAAGAAGTAAGTAATACTTTTTTTACTGTCCCGTTTGTCCACCACCTCACAATAATATAGTATAAATAAACATAAAATGATCCCAGGAGTTTAAATTAGAACTCAAGGTCAAAACCAGCTCACAGGACCTGAAACTGGAGGACAACTAGCTGTGGACGTTTGCAGGAGACTGAGCTTTGTTCTGCCTTTCATGTCGCTGCTTCAACCTTCTTATCTAGCGGCCCTAATCTGATTTGGCCAACCACTAGAGAGGAGAAGTTCAAGAATTCAGCTATAAGCATCTTCAGTGATTCATTTTCAGTCACATGTTTTTCAGTTTGTCCTGGTTCCTTGTTATCTTGTGAAATTGATGCTGCACTAATTTTTTTCTTACACCTTTGATAATTTACTCATTGTTCCAAGTTTTGGGCCATAGCATCACATTGGCCACAAGGTATTATTTCAGAAATTATGAGAAAAACAAAAGTTTATTTTAGAAAATAAGACTTTTACTTTTGATATCTAGTGGATTCGAGTTTCGGCTCACTGGTGAAGAATACTTAATGGGGCTTTAATTGTTATTTTCAAATTATTTGTCTAAAACAAATTGTTACAATTTAGAAATCGTAGAAGGATATCACAAAACTTGTTTTTCTCTAGTTCCAGGGAACAGGTGAAATAGTTTCTTAAATTATAGCAGATTTTATAAATCACCATTTTTTTATTTGTCATTTTAGGTTCTGTACTTTGGGGTTGGGTGTTAAAGAGGAATTAAAATTCTCCCCTTAATATTTATTTCACCAAAACCCAATTCTTAGGCAAAATGCTCCCCAATCTTCTGCTGGTATTAGAACTTTAAATTTTGCACAAAACTTCCAGATACTCTCATATGATTATCTATGACTATTCTCTCAAAAGAAGACAGTAACAATGTGGATATAAGAAATGCATAGTTTCATTCTACTAAACTGAACAAGCACCTCTCCTGTGCCAGTCAGCTGATGCATCATGTGTGGGTCCATCCTGAGTAGATTTGTAAATGTCATACTGTTGCTTCTCCATCAAACACTTTATCAGAGTCACAGGCACTGCAACAGAAAGAATTTGTGAAACATTTAGTGTTGTATCTCGGAATAGCAAAATAACTGGTAGGTGACCGGAAGGAAGAAAAAGATTAAAAAAAAAAATCTGAAGCCTCGATCGCCCAAGGATGTCTGTGTCTCCAAAAAATAGAGATTTGGCTACACTTAGTTGAGGGAACTGGTCTAAGACAGAAGCCTAAGAAGCTGGAAGAAAAATTAGCAGAAACTTTTAATCGCAAGTTTCTGAAGCCACCTAGTGGTTTGTTACAAAATTTAAGATTGTGTGAATAAATCTCTGGACGTAGGGTGGGGCTCTCATCACTGTGACTAAGAGTCTGACCGCTTTTCGTCCAGCAAAGAGGAGGGTCAGTGTCGTTGGGAATGAACACAGTGCCGCTCTGTGAAATAGTTTATTTATTTATATGCCTCCTTTTATCAAAAAGGACTTAATGCAACTTACATGAAAGTACAGCAAGGTAACACACACTAGAAGAAAGAGAACCACCATGAATAAGAACATAAACATAGTAAAAACTTTTGATTAATTTGAAAATACCTTTAAGTTTTTCACGAAATGACTCTACATTTTTATGTAAGTGTGGGAACTGATCACCTACAAAATTCACGATGTCCAGAAAGAAGAAGTAATTTTCAGGAAAAGAAAAACTGTACTTGACGCCAAGAGCAGGGCAGTTTTTCCCCTGGGGATCCACAAGACACTGCATGCTGTACTGTGTAATGTCCTCAGTCCTCAGAGTGGAAACCACCCCGAGTCTTGGAGGATTGTTTCTTTGTTGTGTCCACATTATTTGGAGGAGAATGTCCATTTTCTAGGTTTGCATTAACTCATTTGATCCTCTCAATAATCATATGTGGTTAGGTGGTGTTACTAACCCTGTATTGCAAGTGAGGCCCTGAGGCAGGTGAGGTTACAATTGCCTAGAGTCAGCCGTTAATACATTTTGGAGCCGGGACCCCAACCTGGGCAGCCTGGATCCTAGTACCCATACTCTTTTCCCAGATGCTTTATACTGAGTGGTCAATTTAGTACAATACAACCCATGCAATGAAAACGACAATACTTGAGTTTTCCCCCTTATGACGTATACGGTCTCTGGGGAATTGTACAGGTGCGCTTTCACATGATGATAAAGATGAGGTCAGGGGTGCGTATTTCTGAGATGACTCAGTTAACTTTACTTTCTTCTAGGCCACTAGGGCCACAGACTTTATCCCTGATCCCCAGTCACCACACTCTTGAACACATGCATGTGTGTGCATGACTTTCGTCAAAACCAAAAACAAAACAGGAAAGAGTGCTCAAATTCCCCACTTCCTAACTTCCAGAAAATAGCTGAAATCCATGACCTTACGATGGCATATTTTCAGATACAGATCTAAAACACAGTCATAACAAAACACACTGTATTCTGCTAGTTTCCTTTTTCCAAGTGGTATCTTTACGTTTTGAATGGCAACTAAATTGATTTCTCTTAACCAGTCATGAACATTGATTAGCAATGAGCAAGGCAAACCTTGAAAGGGGCTTGGTAGGAAAATAATAGCAGCACTGAAACATTTTCAGTGAGAGGAGTCAAAATATCGTAAAACTTGAGTCTTGAATTGAGCATTTTAGAATGATGTTCTTTCAAGCTGTCCTTTAGGGTAGTTGTATGGTTTTGCTAAGAGAAAAAAGTATATTTTTATAAAATGACTGTTCCACCTAGATAAAAGTCCTTAAAAACAAATTTCAATAACATTTAAAAGACGTGCACAGCTCAGTAAAGAATCTAATGCTCCTGTAAGACCCAAGTTCTATTTTGGGGTCAACATGTTGGCCTATAACCCAAAAGACAAGTTTTCAGAATGATAAACTTATGATAGTTCTCCTGAGTACATGAGAGATTTATTGTGTCATGGGAATATAAATGAAAGAAAGCCATGCTGAGATATGGTGAAGGAAACATTGCCTGGGAACCAAGAAGCTTGGGAATGTCGGCTTATACATTCTTTGTATGTCATTTTTCTCATAAACTTTGGAGTCAGATCTTGGATTTAAGTATAAATTCTGATACTTTTAGCTGGATGTTATTAGATTAGCCAGTTAGCTTCTTTGGGTCTCAGTTTCTTCATCTATAAAATGGCATTAATAATACACGGATTTTATTGTGTGCAGGTGTTGTGCTTTTATACGCCTTTAATCTTTATAACAATCCCAAATGGGACATTCACATTTGTTATCCCCACTTTACAGGTAAGATCATCGAAGTTGGGAGAGTAGGTAATTTGAAGAGTTTAATGAATTATCCTAATTCATGTAATGTGTCATATCTCCGCTACATACAGAGACGGTGGGCTGTGTTTTCCTCTTGACTCTTGTCTCCTCCATCTCCTCCTCTTCTTCTAGATCCACTTTGAAAATTAGTGAAGAGGAGAAACACGTGTTTAAACAGCTTACGTTTGGGAATTAAGTAGAAGTTTAGGCCAAAGAGTAAAAATGAAACTGAATTTTCATTCTCCTACAGGAATGGCAAAAACTCAACTATGATATCTACACCCTGCGACAGACTCGAAGGAAAGTGAGAAATAAATGGAAACGCATTTTAGAAGATTTAGGTGAGTCTGAAAGTGATCACGAGATGGTAAAAATAGGCGGTTGTGATCATTTCGCTTCACGTTCTTTGCTTTGGTTTTCGTAAAAGGAATGTCAGTAAGTTACCACTTATGGCTCTTGTGTGTGAACTAGTTCCCCAACCCTGTCCTCCTTTCTCCCCCAGAATAAACACGGGACCTTTCTGTTACCACTGGCTTGTGCCTTGAGGACACGTTTCGCCATATGTTACCCCATCTGTCCTCAGTGTCAAGTAGCACAGGGTGATGGAATCATGTGGTCGCTACCACTCAATCTTGGGGGTGTAGTGCATTGACTGAATCATCTGGGAGTAATTGACCAATTAGTAATAGCTGTATAAGAGGAGGCAGGTTGGGAGAGATATTATTTGTAAGAAACATTTTGTTTTTTGTAAGAGTACGACAAAGTTTATGTGAACTTTCAGAAAGCCTACAAGGCAGCAAAGCTTCAAAGTTGGAGAAAACCCCTGCGGCATTAGAGTAGCTATTGGGCATTGATTGTTCTTAATTCTGCTGGAGTTGTGATATGATACATGTGGCCTTCACATTATAAAATAAGCTCACTTTAATGTTTAAAAATGAATGTATACCTTTGAAGTCTTCAGTCCTTCTGTTTTGAAAGAGAGCATGACGCCTTGGCATCATCACTCCCTGAAAGCTGGGTACCCAGTTGCTAGCCCCTGTTGCTTTACTTGGGACACAGTGGGATGGGAGGACTTCTGCCCCCTTTACTCAACCAGTGTTGGTGGGATTGAATAGTCTTCTTTTTTAAAATGTAATTTGCTCCAGGCAGGTTTGAATCTTTGAGTCTTTTATCCCTTTGGATAAGTAGTTTTAACCAACCAACCATATTACCCTGGTGAAGGGAACCTGGGCTTGGAAAAGGAAGGACCTGGAAGCCACTCTTTGGCTTCCAAATTGCAAAAGCAGGTGGGAATTTTGGGGGCAGGGGAGGAGGTGAAGGACAGGGAGTGGGAGGAGGGTTTCAAACCAAAAGAGGGCAAAGCAGGAGGTGGATGAGTATCTGAAGTTTAACTCTGAGGAAAAAGTTAAACAGGAAGAAATAGCGAACACATTTTAACGAAAGACACTGCCAGCCAGTCACCCTGTGCTGGGAAGCAGCACATGGAGTGAGTGGTGCCTCTGGCTTCAGTTTTCTGATGTTTGTTCAGAGTCCACATTTGGGTCCCTTGATCTCCTGCCAGGATGCTACTGCAGGACAGTCCCTTCCTGTGACTTCTTTTTATGACAGGTAAATTTCTTTTACCTTAGGTTTTCAAAAGGAAGCAGACTCTTTGTTGTCAGTGACAAAACTCAGCACCATCAGTGATTCTGAAAATATGAAGAAAGCGCGAGAGATACTGTTAAGACTGGCTGAAGAGACCACTATTTTTCCAGCCGGTTGGCAGCTCTCCGAGAGGTATCTGTATGTTGTGGTAAGTGGGTGCATTTTTTTTTCATCTGCCCTGATTTTGCTTTCAGTTTCTGCTTCTCTATGACTCCGTGTCCTCCTCATTCCAGCCCCACCGGCAACACCACAACGTGAAGTAGCAGGTGGTGCCGGCATCTTAGCTTGGTTTCCAGTGGCCAGCAGCGCCACAGCCACCTGGAGGGCTTCGCAAACCCAGATTTCTGTCTGGAGCATCAGAGCTCCTTCTGAGCTCGCTGGACCCCAGGCGGAGGGCAGCGAGCCAGTTTTAGAAAGGGGCTTTTGATGCATAACTTGGCTTGGTGTAATGAAACAATCCCACTTCCAATAAAGTTGATGTTTATTTTTGCTCTCTCACAGAAGTGGAGAGGTAGTCCGTTCAGGGCTGGTATAGCGCCCCACGATGGCAGTGACCCAGCTCCCTCTCTCCCGTGGCTCCACTGTCCTCAGCATGTGGCCTTCACATCATGGTCTGTGGTGGCTGCTCCTGCCACATGTCTGCCATTCCCGCCACCAGAAAGCAGGAAGGGACAAAGAGGGGCACGCTCCTTCACGTTAGGAACGTGTCTCAGAAGTTACCATAAAAAATAAAATAAAAATAAAAATTCAGATTTCAGGATTGCAGTCAGACCTGTTGAGGCTTGGATTGTGGCTCAAGAGTCTGTGTTTTTCAGCCAGTTCTGCTGTATAGTCAGCCTTTTGGTCAGAGATGTGAGAAATATTGTTTATGTAACCTAAGATTGAAAAAGAACTTGAGAGGACTCTAGAAACAGTGGAATGTTTCATGGATAATATAAGGAAGTGATTAAGGTGTATCTCTGAATTTGTTGAGAAAAATTTAATAAATGTTTCCTCGTTATTATTTCTAGAGTAGGTTTTGTTGTTAGATTGGTTTTCCCATGGATAAGGCTCGGTTTCCATCTTGACATTTTTGTATTTAATGTTTGGCAGGACCGTCTCATTGCTCTTGATGCTGCAGAAGAGTTCTTTAAAACTGCCTGTCGAACTTACCCCAAGAAGCCTGAGGTGCCCTCCCTGGCAGATGACCGGAAAGAACCGCACTACCTTCCACTCCCAAGTCCCTAGAGGCGGGGCTGGGAGGCAGACTCGGAATTCTTCCACTGGAACTCCAGCGGCCAACCAAAGCTGGACAAATGAATGTAGCTAACAGTGAGCAAGTAGAGGGCTAAGTAATAAATGATTCTGAGTCCTACCAAAGTCTAAGGATTTGAATATCTGGTCTTCATGAGGACTTTATTTTATGAGATGTTCAGATTGCATTAAAACACCTTGGCAATATTGCATCAAAGAATTGGTCAATGGGCTATGTCATGGGTGATTGGATTCCAAGAACCCCTTGGCCTCTTGCTGGCTTCTGTGGTACGATAAGCCTTAATCATTAATCCTCCTGGAAGAATGGGATACTCTAGTTAGTAAAACAGCAAGATTAATGGAGGGAGTGCTCATTGAGCCCAAGGTGCTAAGACAGACCAGTTTAAAAAATAATTATTTTATATATAGGCTAATACCAAAATAATACCAGACACTGTGTGACCATTCTTTAATTTGGAAGAACCTACGGAACCTTGGAAGGGGTCAGAGGCATCATTTTAGGTATCAGTTGTAATTTGGAAATACAGGTGGACCAGATAATAGAAATGTCTAAGAGTGCTGCTCAGACACGAGTTCCAAATAGAATGACCCCCAGCAGAACATCCTACAGCTACATACAAAAAACTCTGTCTTCAGTTGTGGTACAAGCATCTTGAATTCTCAACACTATTGGCATGTTACCTCCTTTCTGCATATTGTCCACTTCTAATCCAAAGGCCCTTGGTGTTTTACCCAGGATAGTATCTATAAACAGAAATGTTTGGCCTCTTCTTCCTTCTCTTCAATCTGTTTCTGGCTCATTGGCTGAGAGTTACATCTGCCCAGGGACCTCGTGCAGTCTTATATCTTTGCCGGCCATGTTGCTTCGAAAAAGGTCGTCGCTGGACTTTCATTCTGAAGATGATTTTCAAAGGGGAGCAATGCCGCCGATGCAGCTGGCTTCTATCTGCAGATTGAGAATTCCAGCTTCAAAAGTTACTTGCCCCTTAAGCAAGGAGCTTGCCAAGAAATCAGGGTTCCTTTTATTGAAAAGACTTTCAGAACTTGCAGGATTCATGAGGAGATTGTTGAGAACAATGGCAATGTTGTCACTTTTACATATTTTGCTCTACTGACCGTAGGTTAGAAAGTAAGTTGTTTTTAGTTTGACCTAGGGAATTGTGACTTGAAAATATGCATATCCTCCTTAGTTTCTTTGGTAGTGTACGCAATGTTTAAATTATTTGTTAGAGGAGATATATGTTCTCCATTTGCTAATGAGTTGCAGACCAATTTAACTGATACAGTTCAGGACATTTTTTCCTAGTTTAATAAGTAAGCTAAAAGTCTTATTTTTAATATTTAGTGCCTCATCCCTTTCATATTGTTTAAATTAGCCTACAGATAGTTTTCCTCAGTTCCATGGGCTCTTGCAAGGTAAACATACAAGCAATGAAATATAGACACAAAATAAAAAAACAATAAAATAAAATTTTAAAGTGAAAAATCATTGTTTTTATCTCTGTTCTCGGATTTGTGTTTTGTCATTCTGCCTTTTTGATGTCAAAATAGATGAGATTGTTTGCCTCTATGGAGAGTAAAGTGTACCGATAGTCTTTATTTTTGGTAATGAATGACTAAGGATAAGACTGTCTCTATGATTATAAAAACACATGGAATTAGCCAGGAAATTTTCCTTGAAAGGAATCTAAAAGGCTCTCTGCATTTACTTTTCATTTGGATGTGTGTGAGATTTCCAAGAAATAAGGAGGACCAGATATTCTCTCCATATTTCCTTCAAATTAAAGGGCAAAGAAACTGAGAGCCAGAGGGGTTTAAGGACCTCCCCCAATTCTGAAGCCAGTCAAGGGGCAGATGTGTGTTCAGGTTCAATAGACACTGTAGAACATAAGAGAGGCTCGAGTGTCACTGAAGTGACCGTTTTGAAAGTCAAGAGGTTTTCAGCTGTAGCAGGACCCACAGCTGTCTCCCTGTTGACTACTGTGGTACTTCTCAAAGGTTTGTCTGTGAGTGCAGGGCCATGTTAGGTAGTAGATGATAGAAATTTTTGTATTAATAGCTATTTATTTTAACGTACACCAAGGGAAAAACTGTAATTAACAGATTCAGCATTTGGTTTCCCATTAATGGATGTTAATTATCGCAGCAAATAATAAAGTATTTATGTTTTTTATTTTTTTTAACTTTTTAAATTGAATTTAGTGAGGTGACATTGATTAATAAAGTTATATAGGATTCAGGTATACATTTCTATAATACATCATCTGTATATTGTAGTGTGTGTTTACAACTCCCAAGTCAAGTCTCTTTCTATCACCATTCATCCCCCTTTTCCCTCTTTTACCTCCTGCACCCCTTTTCCCTCTGATAATCATCATACTGTTGTCTGTGTCTGTGAGGGCTTTTTCTTTGCTTATCCTTTTCCCCTTTCTTACCCAGCCCCACAACTCCCCTCACCTCTGACGGCTGTCAGTTTGTTCTCTATGTGCCTGTTTTTGTTTTGCTTGTTTATTTTGTTCATTAGATTTCACATATGAGGGAAATCATATGGTCCTTGTAGTGTTCATGCTTTTTCAAAGCGGGCACTCAGGAAGGCACGGTGGACACCCGGCCCGAAGTGAGGAGGAGCGCACTGGTGAGGGGTGCCGGCATCTCTGAGAGCTCAGTGGCCATCCTGCAGGCCAGATGCTGTCTCAGAACTGGGCTCACTGATGACAGTGGGGATGGAAGAAGAGGGGCCCAGTGGCCGTGTTACTGTCAGAAGTATAGTGGGCACAATGATGAGTAGTTAGGTCTGAGGGGTACCTGTAGAGAGATTTAGAGATGGTTAATAGAACATGGCATCCCTCGGGGCAAAATAGACAGGCAGCTGGTGAGGGTATTGCTCAAGCTACTATCAAAAGATCTCAGGGGTGGAGAGAGGACCAAGAGACAGGTAGGGCACAGCCACCCTAATACAAAGTGGTCCTCTCTTGACAGATCTCCAGACCCAGAAGCTACTGACTGAAGGAAAGGCTGGGTCTCCAAGAAGGGGGGCTTTGTAGCCCCTCTGCAGGTGTATACAGTGATCCCCCTTCCTCCAAATGACCTGTGGTTATTTACTTGGGTTACTTGGGGAAAGGAGGAGACACAAACATTCTTGAGGACATGGGATACACGGTCCAAGATGAAACCGATACTCAGGGACAAGACTGCCTCTATAGTGTGCCTTTTAGAACATAGAGGATTCAGATAATAAATGGAGCCCTATCTCAGGACTAACAGTAGAACCATCGAGTCCATGGATCTACCCAACTATCATCTCCCCTCTTCCGGAATTAATGATTGAGCTGAACACATTTGGGACTTGTCAGAACCACTGTTTGTTTCTTGGCCTGTAGGTTAAAAACTGTCCTAATGGGAAAGCTAAGCAGAAGCCTCTGAAAACGGCGCCACCCCCTGGCCAAGACAGTAAACCCAAATCACTACCACATCCCAGGTTGTCGGCAGAAACTCATGCTGCCCTGGAAGACCTAAAGAGCACGGGGGTGCGGTCCTTGTCCTAATGACATGCAATTTGCCACTCTGGCTTCTGTGAAAACGGGAAGGCACCCACCTGGCTTCTTTTCCATTAGATTAATGTCTTTATTCATTTCCTCAGATCACTTTGAATTACTAATATCAGAACTGTGTGTAGATTGTGAAGAAAGTATATTCAATTTCCAAATCACTACTATGTGCAGAGTGAAAATGGCCAGCCACATGCAACTTTCCGTTTACAGTGTTTCAAGAGTGTTATTATTTGCATCCAGAGTACAATTCCATATTCTTTTTTCACACACAACAAAGGACACTTGGCACATCTCTTTTTCAGTTTTCAAGTCCTCTAACGTGGGTATAGAAGACTGGATTTTAGAGAACTGAGTCAGGGAAACAGGCCTTAGTGCAAGCCTCATCCTTTGATCATTTAGTGACTAAATGGAGTTTATCAGATTTTGCTACTAAGTCTTTAGTGAGATTAAATTTGGAAAGAACAGTGTTATAAAAACAAAAATTAAATTATGACACATAATAACTTGATAAAACATAGACCTATAGATCATTACTTTTTCAAAAACCAACAGCTGTGGTTTCTAATAGCAATTTACTTTAAAATTTTTTCAGCATTAGTAGTGTGAAATGGATAAGTAAACTTTGTCATATGGCCTAGAGACATGCAGAATTTGAAGTATCCTAATCAGCACTCTACAAAGATGATTGTTTAATCATTTTAATTATCTTTATCAAAATTGACACCAGAAGGCTCATTAAGCTGCATAAATAGTGTTAGGAATGATTTTCCATTTATGAAAAAAGTAGTTGCCAAGATAAGTGGTTACGCTTTTTCCTCCGCCGTCTTTGCAAGGAGGGGGCGTTAAGAACCTGTGAAGCCCAGCAGTGTTCAAGGCCTGGAGCTCATCTTTCTTTTGCCTGCTTCACACACCTGACACTGTGTTGTCTGATTTTGTTATCAGAACATAGTTGTGTCTGTCTAAGAATGAAACTGTCACTCAAGTCGACTTCAAATTTTTACTTCAATATTGTGAGCCCTGAGGAAAGAAAGGGGGACTTTTCTGGGATTGCAGGAAGCAAATCTGTCATTCCTGGCTAATAAACATTGTTTGCTTAGAATTTGGGCTAAGACTCATTTTCATTGTCCTGTAATACAGCACCTGGCTGCAAGGTTATGAGGGAGGAGACGCATGGCCTTCACCTTTCTCTTTTAATGGCTGAAAATCATTGATATATATTCACATACTGGGACTTTGCTGAAAGATCATACATTTTGTATTTTTAAGATATAAAAATCATGCAGACAATTTTAAAATAGAAAAAAGAACTAACGATAATACTAGAACTCAAAGACAACCAGTCATAACTTTTAGAGGGATTACATTCTTTATCATGTGTATATCTGAAATTATATGTGCAGTTTTATATCCTGACTATTAAATCTCTAGGTCAGGGGTCATGAATTCAAATGTCCTCATTGGTCATTGAGTAGAGACTGAAGAGCAAAGGGCATCATGTGTTCCCTACCCTAAAGGAAACAATTACTACTCAGCTCCAAATCATTGTTGTCATGTAAAAGCTCTTAGTTTTTCCAGTTATTCTGATTTTTTGACAAGTGCCAAACAACAGGGTTTTATATAAGTTTTTTCAATTTATAAATATTGGTTAAAAAATTTAAAAACATTGTGTAAGCCAAAGATATATACATGAACTGACAGTTAACCACATTTCTCAGGTCATAAACATTTTCTGCTAGTAAGTAAGCTCTAGAGCATCTATTTGGCAAAGCTGCATGGTATAAAATGGAGTAGATGTAATACATCTTACAATCTTTCATCTATGTTTGGATATTTAGATGTTTTCCATTCTTCTCTGCAATGAAGATCTCCATGCGTATTGCTTTGTCCTCTGTTTTTCTTCTTTTTTTAAAAAAGATTTTATTTATTTGTTTTTAGAGAGGGGAAGGGAGGGAGAAAGAGAGGGAGAGAAACATCAACGTGTGGTTGCCCCTCGAGCGCCCCCTACTGGGGACCTGACCCGTAACCCAGGCATGTGCCCTGACTGGGAATTGAACTGACAACCCTATGTCCTCTGTTCTTAATGGAATTATAAAACCAAAGCACATTAATACTGAAATCATTGTTTAATGTACATAATCAGATATTTTCCAAAAGGTTTGTACCAGTTTCTGTTCTCTCTAGCAGTGATGCATGAAAGCGTAGTTTCATCATATCTCTGTCACCGTTGGGATTTACACCAGGAAAAAAAAGTTGGCAAAGAAAAAAAAGGTAACTCATCTGTTTACTAGTTTAGGTGAACAGTTTTTTATACGCTTGTTTACCATCATTTCTTTTGCGATTTGTCTATTTCCTTGGTTCTTTATCTGTGGGAAGAACTACTTTGAAATTTTAACAATGTCAATCTATGTAGCAGTCAGGTAGAAATAAACATCAACACCTGCTTTATGTTTAAAACATCTGTTTTATGGGCCTTTTCTTTTCTCTACTAGCTGTCAGCTTTTGTCCTTGGGTCTCTCACTGTCTCATATGGCAGCGTCCATAATAGAGGAAAAATGGATTGAAAGGTATCTTTAAATAGCATTTCTACTGTCTCTTCATTTCATTTTGTGGGCTACAATTCTCAAGCAATAAGACTGCTGAAGTTTTATGCCTGCATTTTATGATTAATCGTTAAATTATTATAAAATATTTTGAGTTTACAAACACAAGTCTTATTACTATGATTCTGGGGGCAAGAATAGGTTTAGACTTTGAGATTCCATACTCAAAATTGCAAAGCACAGAAGGATCTTAAAAGCTATATTCCAAACTGCTCATTTTGCAAATGTGGAAACTGAGTTTTTGTTACTTCTCCGAAGTCACATAAGTTAGCAAGTAACTGCATCACAGTCTAATACCTGGGATTCTGATCTCTAGTTTAAT